TGACAGTTTGCTTAATATGTGTCTTGGCATGTTTCTCCTTGGATTTTTCCTGTATGGGACTCTCTGTGCTTCCTGGACTTGATTAACTATTTCCTTTCGCATATTAGGGAAGTTTTCAACTATAATCTCTTCAAATATTTTCTCAGTCCCTTTCTTTTTCTCTTCTTCTTCTGGAACCCCTATAATTCGAATGTTGGTGCATTTAATGTTGTCCCACAGGTCTCTGAGACTGTCCTCAGTTCTTTTCATTCTTTTTTCTTAATTCTGCTCTGCAGTAGTTACTTCCACTATTTTATCTTCCAGGTCACTTATCCGTTCTTCTGCCTCAGTTATTCTGCTATTGATCCCTTCTAGAGTATTTTTAATTTAATTTATTGTGTTGTTCATCATTGCTTGTTTCATCTTAAGTTCTTCTAGGTTCTTTTTAAATGTTTCTTGCATTTTCTCTATTCTATTTCCAAGATTTTGGATCATCTTTACTATCATTATTCTGAATTCTTTTTCAGGTAAACTGCCTATTTCCTCTTCATTTGTTAGGTCTGGTGGGTTTTTATCTCGCTCCTTCATCTGCTGTGTGTTTTCCTGTCTTCTCATTTTGCTTATCTTACTGTGTTTGGGGTCTCCTTTTTGCAGGCTGCAGGTTCGTAGTTGCCGTTGTTTTCGGTGTCTGTCCCCAGTGGCTCAAGTTGGTTCAGTGGGTTGTGTAGGCTTCCTGGTGGAGGCGACTAGTGCCTGTGTTCTGGTGGATGAGGCTGGATCTTGTCTTTCTGCTGGGCAGGTCCACGTCTGGTGATGTGTTTTGGGGTGTCTGTGGACTTATTATGATTTTAGGCAGCCTCTCTGCTAATGGGTGGGGTTGTGTTCCTGTGTTGCTAGTTTTTTGGCATAGGATCTCCAGCACTGTAGCTTGCTGGTCGTTGAGTGAAGCTGGGTGTTGGTCTTGAGATGGAGATCTCTGGGAGATTTTCGCCATTTGATATTACGTGGAGCTGGGAAGTCTCTTGTGGACCAATGTCCTGAAGTTGGCTCTCCCACCTCAGAGGCACAGCACTGACTCCTGGCTGCAGCACCAAGAGCCTTTCATCCACACGGCTCAGAATAAAAGGGAGAAAAAGTAGAAAGAAAGAAAGAAAGAGGATAAAAGAAAAGAAAATAAAGTTTTTAAAATAAAAAATATAATTATTAAGAAAAAAATATTTTTAAGTAAAAAAAAAAAGAAAATGGACAGATAGAACCCTAGGACAAATGGTGAAAGCAAAGCTATACAGACAAAATCTCACACAGAAGCATACACATACACACTCACAAAAAGAGGAAAAGGGGAAAAAAATCATAAATGTTGCTTCCACTGTCCACCTCCTCAATTTGGGATGATTCGTTGTCTATTCAGGTATTCCACAGATGCAGGGTACATCAAGTTGATTGTGAAGTTTTAATCTGCTGCTCCTGAGGCTGCTGGGAGAGATTTCCCTTTCTCTTCTGTGTTCGCACAGCTCCCGGGGTTCAGCTTTGGATTTGGCCCCGCCTCTGCGTGTAGGTCGCTGGAGGGCATCTGTTCATCGCTCAGAGAGGACGGGGTTAAAGGAGCCGCTGATTCGGGGTCTCTGGCTCACTCAGGCCGGGGGGAGGGATGGGTACGGAGTGTGGGGCGAGCCTGCGGCGGCAGAGGTTGACGTGACGTTGCACCAGCCTGAGGCGCGCCGTGCGTTCTCCCAGGGAAGTTGTCCCTGGATCCCGGGAACCTGGCTGTGGCGGGCTGCACAGGCTCCTGGGAAGGGGGTTGTGGACAGTGACCTGTGCTCGCACACAGGCTTCTTGGTGGCAGCAGCAGCAGCCTTAGCGTCTCATGCCCGTCTATGGGGTCCGCGCTGTTAGCCACGGCTCGCGCCTGTCTCTGGAGCTCCTTTAAGCAGCACTCTTAATCCCCTCTCCTCGCGCACCAGGAAACAAAGAGGTAAGAAAGAGTCTCTTGCCTCTTCGGCAGTTCCAGACTTTTCCCCGGACTTCCTCCTGGCTAGCCGTGGTGCACTAACCCCCTGCAGGCTATTTTCAAGCCGCCAACCCCAGTCCTCTCCCGGCGCTCCGACCAAAGCCCAAGCCTCAGCTTCCAGCCCTGCCCGCCCTGGCGGGTGAGCAGACAAGCCTCTCGGCCTGGTGAGTGCCGGTCGCACCGATCCTCTGTGCAGTAATCTCTCTGCACCCCTGTGGCTGCGCTCTCCTCCGAGGCCCCGAAGCTTCCCCCTTCCACCACCCGCAGTCTCCGACCGTGAAGGGGCTTCTAGTGTGTGGAAACCTTTCCTCCTTCACAGCTCCCTCCCACTAGTGCACGTCCCATCTGTATTCTTTTGTCTCTGTTTATTCTTTTTTCTTTTGCCCTCCCCAGGTACGTGGGGGAGTTTCTTGCCTTTTGGGAGGTCTGAGGTCTTCTGCCAGCGTTCAGTAGGTGTTCTGTAGGAGTTGTTCCACGTGTAGATGTATTTCTGATGTATCTGTGGGGAGGAAGGTGATTTCTGCGTCTTACTCTTCTGCCATCTTCCCCCTCTCTCAGTTTTCTTTTTTTTGTAGTGTTTTTGTCTGATTGTGGTATCAGAATAATGCTTCTCTTGTAGAATGAGTCAGGAAATCTTTCCTCTTCCATTTTGAATTGGTGTCATTTTTTTCTTTAAATGCTTGATAAAATTCCCCATTCATAAGGGACCATTTGGATTTGTAGAATTGTTTTCCAAAAGATTTTAAATGGTTTTATTGAGTTATAATGGACATACAAAGAGCTACATACATTTAATGTAAAATTTGATGTGTTTGCACATATGCAAACACACACGATACAATCAAGGTAGCTGACATTTCCAACACCTCCCATAACCTCCCCCCACCTCCCTTTTTGTTTGCCGTAAGAACACTAAAAATGTGTTCTACTCTCTTAACACATTTAAAATGCACAATAGCGTGTTTTTAACTATAGGCATTATGTTTCACAGCAGATCTCAAGAACTTATTCATCTAGCATAACTGAAACTTTATACCCTTTGGACAATAAGTTCCCATTCTCACCCCTTCCCCAACTCCCTGCCTACCACTATTATATTCTCTGTTTCTATGAGTTTGATGATTTTAGATACCTCATATAAGTGAAGTCATAAAGTATTTGTCTTTTTGTAACTGGTTTATTTCACTTAGCATAATGTCCTCCAGGTTTATCCACATTGCAAATGGCAAACTTTCCTTCTTAATTAAGGCTGAATAATATTCCTTGTATGTATCTATCACATTTTCTTTATCCAATGATCTGTTGATGGACACTTAGGTTTCTATATCTTGGCTGTTGTGAATAATGCTACAATGAAAGTGAGAATGCAGATATCTCTTTGAGATCCTGATTTAAATTCTTTTGCATATATACCCAGAAGTGGGATTGTTGGATCATACAGTAGTTCTATTTTTAATTTTTGTGAGGAACACCCACACTATCTCCATAGCTGATGCACCATTTTACATTCCTACTAACAGTGTTTGAAAGTTAAAATTTCACCACATCCTCGCCAACACTTGTAATCTTTTCAGGTTTTTAAAAAATAGTAACCATCTAATAGGTAAGAAATGATATCTCATTGTACTTTTTAAATCTTATTTATTTACATCTTTATTGGACTATAATTCCTTTAAAATGTTGTGTTATTTTCTGCTGTATAACAAAGTGAATCAGCTATATGTATACATATATCCCCTCCTTCCCACCCTCCCCATCCCACCCATCTAGGTCACCACAAAGCACTGAGCTGACCTCCCTGTGCTATGCAGCAGCTTCCCACTAGCTATCTATTTTACACATGGTAGTGTATACATGTCAATGCTACTCTCTCACTTCCTCCAGCCTCCCCTTCCCCCTATGTGTCCTCAAGTCCATTACCTACATCTGTATCTCTATTCCTGCCCTGCCACTAGGTTCATCAGTACCATTTTCCTAGATTCCATAGATATGCATTAATATATGGTATTTGTTTTTCTCTTTCTGACTAACTTCACTCTGTATGACAGACTCTAGGTCCATCCACCTCACTACAACTGATTCAGTTTCATTCCTTTTTATGGCTGAGTAATATTCCATTGTATATATATATAGCAAATTTTCTTTATCCATTCATCTGTCGATGGACATTTAGGTTGCTTCCATGTCCTGGCTATTGTAAATAGTGCCTTGAACTATTTATAATGAACTATTAATAATGAACATTGTAGCACATGTCTCTTTTTGAATTATGGTTTTCTCAGGGTATAATACCCAGTAGTGGGATTGCTGGGTCATATGGTAGTTCTATTTTTAGTTTTTTAAGGAACCTCCATACTGTTCTCCATAGTGGCTATATCAATTTACATTCCCACCAACAGTGCAGGAGGGTTCCCTTTTCTCCACACCCTCTCCAGCATTTATTTTTTGTAGATTTTTTGATGATGGCAATTCTGACTGGTGTGAATGAGGTGATAGCTCATTGTAGTTTTGAGTTGCATTTCTCTAATGATTAGTGATGTTGAGCATCCTTTCATGTGTTTGTTGGCAATCTGTATATCTTCTTTGGAGAAATGTCTATTTAGGTCTTCTGCCCATTTTTGGATTGGGTAGTTTGTTCTTTTGATATTGAGCTGCATGAGCTGCTTGTATATTTTGGAGATTAATCTTTTGTCAGTTGCTGCGTTTGCAAATATTTTCTTCCATTCTGAGAGTTGTTTCTGTTATATAAAGCAAGGGTCTGCAAACTATGGCTTCTGAGTGCCACCTGTTTTTGAAAACAATGTACTCTGGGAACGCAGCCATACCCACCCATTTATGTGTCATTAATGGCTGCTTTATGGCAGAGTTGAGTAGTTGAGTCAGAGACCATATGGCTCACAAAGCCATGAATAGTTACTATCCCACCTTTTACAGAAAAGTTAGCCAACTTTTGCTATATAAACTAGAACCTTATTTTTTTGGTGAAAAACTTAAAAAAATCAGAAATGTAAAGTTCAATGAAGCATAATTTATTTCCAGATTGAAAATAATTCTTAATTGCTTTAAGAAACTTCAACCACATACCTAGGGCTTTTGACAATTGTGATAAAGTCTATACTAAGTAATATCAAGAGCATTATTTTACTGGTCAAAAAAAGTAAAAAACAACGCATATTCTCTTGGGGTAAAATAAGCAGGCTTTCAAGTATGCTTCTTAAGAATTGGGAAAAGATAGCCTAAACTCTAGGGTTATAAATGATCTAATAATTAATTTAGCTCAGTTTTCTAACATATTGTCAGTCATCATTTCAAGTTCATCTTTGCAAATTATAAATTACTACAAACACACAATGTATACTTGTCATCATGTTACTATGTTTAGTCCAGGGTCACTTACCTAAAGTTCTAAAGAGTCCCATTACAGTTATAATCTGGGTGAACTGAGCAAGAAGGGAAAATTTCCTTCTTTAGCCCATTTATTTATGATCCAACTCATACTCATGCTAATGGCTTCTTCCATCTTCCTACAGACATTCTGTAGAGCTTCTAGATCGCTATATAAGGTGATTTGCTTTAGCTTGGAATTCACCAGTAAGTGTTACCCATTCCCAGTGTCCAGGAATCACATCATTGCTGACAGACTGTGCAGTCTTGAAACAATGGGACACTGTATACTGTCTTCACTAAGAAGCTAGAATGGTTGTCCCTGATATTGGAACTTGTGGTGCACTTGGCCAAACTCATGACCAACTATGTCCCAAGACTTTAACCTAAGACTTTGCTCAGTGTCCACTTGTCTAACTCGTAGTCATCTGGAAGAAGAAGCTCCTGGGTGGTACCAGGTTATGATACCTCCTGGGTTGGCACAGAGGTAAAATGCCTCTTGTTACACAGTTTACAGTATTGTGAGGAAGATGGACATGATTTCAATTATAGTACTGCATGCCTTTGCAAATATTTAGTGTAATAAAACTGTGAAATCTAAATATTATCAAGTGTGGTGACATTTTTCTTAATTTTAAACTGCTTGAGTAATGCCTCTGATACGAGTGACCAGGAAAGCTCTAATTTTTAGTTCTTTAGCTTAGGCAACATTGCTTCCTTGGTTTTTTCATCTTCTTCTGGAGATTCTGTATTTCTTCATGAAGTCGTCTGTTCTCTTCTTGGAATCCTTCCTGTAGTAGTCGGCCCTGTTCCTAAAAATGTACAAATGGAGACTGAATAACGTGTCACATTAAGTAAATCTCTAACTTCTATCTAGTTTCCACATTCATAGATTTTTTAAAAAATATTTAATTTCTTCTTGAAATTTTCTCTACCATTAATTTCATTATACTTTCTCTTGGTCCTTCTAGCTCTGTGACTACTTTTTCTGAGTCTCCTTGAGTCAAGAAGGATTTTGGGCTTAAATCTCCCAATATGTTGGTGAACCTAATTACCAGTATTAATTTTTTTTGTCCCATTAATTGTACATAATCTTTGTCGGCAATCTTAATGAAATGTTTGGCTTCAGATCTTATCTATGCATTGTGATTTTTTTATGTACACACACACAACACAGAAATAAGTGAAGAATTTGCAAAATCTGATACAGTGTCTGAATCTTAGATCAGGGAATTTGATCTAAGCTTCCACAACTTGGTGGCAGGGGGGCAAAGTGCAGGTAAGGGAATCGGGCCCCAGACAGACCATACTGGCTTTCTGCACATAATTCCCAGCTCAAAACATACTAGGAGCAGGACAAAGAAAACAGGTAGGAGTGATAGACTGACACAATGGTGTGAGAGTTGAGTCCTTCTGCTTATGAAGGTTCTCTTAGAGCTAAAATCTGTGACAGAAGAAAAATGTGTGGATTCCTCTAACTGGTGAAGACTGTTCAGATATCTTCCCAAGCATTGTGGCCCTATAAAAATTACTTAGTCTTGTCTGAACCTCTGTTTCGTCTCCTAAGTAATATGGACATAGCAGCTCTTGCTTCGTATAGTACTAAGCAAGAGATATGGATAAGACTTTTTTATAATATCTAGCAGATAATAGCTACCATGATTGGCAGATATAGTGGTAATAGACTGGGTGTGACATAACTGCAAATAAAATCTTTTAACAACCAGACATTGTAGGGGTCAGTTCAGGCTGGTAGATAAGGATTGAAAAGTACAAGTGGGCAAGCAAGGTCTTTCTTGTGGGCTTCATGTTCTCACTGCCATGCCAAGTTTGTGAACAGGGAGTGTGGAGAGAAAACAGAATAACAGGAACCTCAAGGTGATACAATTAAATACCTGAAGTTTGAGAGAGAGAGTTCTCTCTTGCTCTTCCAGCAACTGGGCCCTATCCCTCTCCATCTTCTCAGTCAGTTGTTTCACATGTTCCTGATAACTCTTTTCTTTCTGTTCCATCATCTGCTGATTCTTTATTTGCATTTCCTCCAGCATTTTTGCTGCAGCCTGTGCAGATTCAGCTTTCACACGTTCCACTGTCAGGAGGAAAAGGAAAAAGAAAAATGAATGTGGGTGACCATGTTGCTTCTTTCTTCCATGTACACTTAACCTGTCACTGTTGCTACTGACTGTGTATGCCCTACTCAAAAATGTCTTTAGCAAGTAAGAGGCATCTTTTCTCATCTTGCTATAGTTTAAGGATCCTAGGCTCACCCAGCCAAATTAATTAGAACTTTTAAGCGCTTTCAAGGCTGTCTAGTCTCTTGACTCGCTCCTCACCTTCAATCAACTTTTCCTTCTCTGAGAGAGTCTGGTCTGTCTGTAGAATTGCAGCAGTCACAGACTCCTTGGACTTCAAATATTCCTGAAGAATTTCTTCAGCCTAGGACCCAGAAAAGAATGGGGTTGGTAATAGGAAATAGCTGTAAGCACTTATTCCTGTTTGCCCACCATCTTGCCCTCTAGGAATTGCTCCTCTTGGTCTTGGCATGCCTGGTGGTCAAGATTCCCTGTCACTGGGATGGGCACATGCTCCAGGCTGGCCAAGCATGACAGCTTCCTGAGCATAATCTTTATAAGAGATTGATATAGATATAAATAGTGATTCTCTGTTCTTTTAGACTGAGGGCTCTAATTTTGGAGCTGTTGGCACTGTGGTCTCATATGAGGTGAACTTGTTGGAGAATGAAGCCATCATTGAGAAAGCAGATCAGAAAAAGGGATGGAGGGAGAATGGGAGGGAGGGAAGTGTGAGGTTGAGGGGAGGAACATGCAGAGAGATAAATGATGACATTATTTGAAATTTTGGATACATCTGATAATCCAATTTGTAACTCAGTTGTTAATTGAGTGCACTCTTTTGGATGAGCACATAGGCTCATCCAAAAGAGTGTATGTGTGTATACACTGTATAATAAACACATACAGGCTCCCTGTATGTGTTTATTAAATGAGAGCATGAATGCTATCGGTCCTGTAATTGCGCATCTGTGTACAATACGCTTGGTCATGTTGTTTCAAGGAACACGTCAGCAACTTCCCAGAATCAATTTTGGTTACCTGTATTCCCTTCCTGGGCTCCTGAAGATACTTTTTCTTCAGCTCTTGTATCTTTTCAATGAAGAGGCGATAGCCTCCTGGTTTAGAATAAATCCCCTCTTTCACACCTTCTTCTAGAGGACTGAAAATATCCTTAAGTAAAGCTGAGCAACGATCTGATGATGCTTTAAGATTCTTTTTACAAAAGTCATCTCGCTTTTTGTCTAGCTGGGCCTTTAATGTAAAAAATAGGAAGTAAAAAGAATAGTGAAAAGATGTTAACTTGACCTCAGAATTTCTGGAAAGTCTTCTCAAAAAAATAAAAATATAAAAGGTCTGTGACCCCCTAGAAGAACTTACAGGCACTCAGCAACACCATATCCTTCCTGCTGATCCTGACTTTCTACAAAGGTCCCTTTCACCATGAAGGTGACCTTCAGAGCAGAGATTACTAGCTATATACTACACCTTTGGAGATAAACTCCTGCTTTTCAAACTGGACCAGTGATTGCATATGCAATAAATGTGGCTCAACATAAGCCTGCTCATGATAACTAAGGCTAAAATTTTCTTTGTTTTTGGCCAAAATATCCAATCAGCCTGATAACAATGAGCAGGTAATTTGATTAGAAGCTCTGTTTGTTACTTATATGTATGTAATGAAATTATAGGGAAGAATATTAGTTTATTCATGAAAGAAAAAAGTTTCAATGCACCATAATAAAGTATATCATAGGGCTTGCCTGGTGGCACAGTGGTTGAGAGTCCACCTGCCGATGCAGGGGACACGGGTTCGTGCCCCAGTGCGGGAAGATCCCACATTCCACGGAGCAGCTGGGCCCGTGAGCCAAGGCTGCTGAGCCTGCGCATCCGGAGCCTGAGCTCCGCAACGGGGGAGGCTGCAAGAGTGAGAGGCCCGCGTACCGCAAAAAAAAGGAAAAAGGATATCATAATAAAATTGGTTCCTCTAATGATAATAACAAATAGTGTTTGTCACCATTTAAAAGTCTAGTAAAAATTGCTTTTCTCAAAATAAGCACCCATTTCATTTTCTAGTAGTACTTTACTTTCCAAGAGCCTAATCTGTAAAACTTAAGAAAAAAATTACCGCTAATTCCTTTTGAAATAAATGGTCTATATCTTTCCAGGACATCCTCATGAAGACTTCAATGGCCTCCTTCTCAATAGTCCTGTGCAGGTCCAGCAGCTCCTGGAGGGTTTCCGTGGGCAGCTGCAGCTTCTGATCCATCTGCTGGTCATAGTGGGCAATGGCCTTTTTCACTGCAGCTGTGTTCTCGATCTCAGACAAGGCCAGGACTGCATTCTCCATGCAGGGCAGATCCCCACTATTGATGGCACTGACATAGGTCTGCACCAGGGTTTCTAGACCTACAAATAGAGAACAAATGATGATGTTTATTGTAGGAGGAGTGAGGAAACTTTCTATTCTGTGCAATTCTTATGATGTCTATTACCAACCATTTGCCTTACAGCATCAATGCCCTCAGTATCACCTGAAAACTGGCTAAAAATGCAGACTCAGCCTCTGCCCCAGTTCAACTGACTTAGACACTCGTCTTTGGCAAGATCCTCAGGTGGTACATATGCACATCGAAGGTTGAGAACCTCTGTTCTAGATAGCCTAGGCCTGTGTTTATTGAGTACATTTACTTCATCCCCAAGCATTGTTAGGACAGAAACCATATCTCTCTCATTTATGTCTGTATCATCAGCCCTGGTAGGTCCATGGGAAACATTCGATTAATATTTGTGGAACAAATCAAAAGGAGTCCTGCATTTTGTTTATTCTAGCAGAGCATTGTCCAGAAGAACTTTCTGTGATGATGGAAGTATTCTATATGTGCTGTCCAGTGTGGTAGCCACTACACATGTGTAGTGTGAGCCCTTGAGACACAGCTGTGTGATCAGAATGTTAAATTTCTTTAATTTTAATTAGTTTACATTTAAATTTAGATAGCTGCACTTATCTAGTGACAACCATATTGCACAGGGAAGGTCCAGTTTACTAGGACAGTTTTAAGCTTTTAGAGCTATTTTCCTTTGGCCTTTTCTATCTTTCCTCACCTAAGAATTGTGACTAATAAAACCTGTTAGAAGTGTTGGTGCCATCTAGAATTTAACACAATAATAGCAGTAGATGTGCATTTTTCAAAGCGGAAGCTAGGTGGATGTTATTACACCATCTTTTCGTCTTAACCGTTAGAGTAAAGACTGGGAAGAGGACTCACGAGGTCCATTGACCTTGATGCCTCCTGAAAGGGTTTTAGTTTTGGAATTTCTAAAGATGTAGGAACAGAAGACTGCAGCTTGTTGCACAAATTCGGGGTCCAGCTTATCATCACACAGTTCCTCAAGCTGGCCCAGTTTCTTCCTATCAGTGGGCCGATCGAAGATAAAGCATTTCTTCTTTGGGAAGAACTTCCGGATACAGAGTCGAGGCAGATTAAAATTTTTATCTTTTTGACTGGTACCTGGAAGAAGATAAAAAGAATTTGCCTAATATAGGGGCTTGCAAACTTTTTCTGTAAAGGGCCAAACAGTAAATGTTTTAGGCTTTGCAAGCCAGATGGTCTCTTTTCCAAGTACTCAATTCTACTACTGTAAGCATGAAAGCAGCCATAGACAGTCTATAAATGAATGGGCATAGCATGATTCCAATAAAACCTTATTTACAAAATCAGCTGGCAGGCTGGATTGGACATTATTTGCCTGTGAGCCATCCTTTGCCAACCCCTAGACTAGTGCATGGTTCATGCTTTTATTTATTTTCTTCAAATAAATTACCTATTCTACTCCATATTCTTTGGTTAATTACAGCACCACAAGCCCTAAGCAAGGATATAATGTAAGTCTAATCACAGCACAGGGAAAGGTGAAAGAAATGAAACCTGCAGGGAGAAAGTCAAATCAAATCTATTCATTCAGATAATAAACAAGTGTTAATTCTTAGTAATCTCCCCCTGAGAAGAAATAGAAACTATAAATATAAGAAAACTGTTGATAGAAAACTAAAGAACGATAGTCTTTTAGTGTTTTGTCATCCCATTTACCAATTCTAAGTTCCCTTTACCTTTCTTAAGCTTCAGTGAATTCTCCAGGTACTCGTCTGCTGTGATGGATTGTCCATCTGCCTCCAAGTCTAGGGAGAAATCCCTCAGTGTCCATACAAAGTCTGGAAAGAAGCTCACAAAGTCAGCTGAATCCTCAACCCCATCCACATCAGGTGAAGCTTTTGCCCTGATTCTATCTGTGAGCTCCGTCACATAGCTGAGCACCAAATTAAGGAAAACCGGCATAAAAGGACAGCGCCCGCCACCCTATATTAGTTACATATACAAAACCCTTGTTTCACCTTTGTTCTTAACCCAAGTATCAATTCTTCAGTAGGTATTGATACGTAGGATTTTCCCCCTGCCCTTGAATTATTTTTTATGTTTCTCTTTTTGTGCTTGATTCACAAGGACTCACAGTTAGGCAGCTGTTTTTATTAATACTGGTCTCCCCTCTGACTCTGACTCTGATGCTGGTTTGAACCCAAAATAGATACTGAAGTTGGTCCATGGCCTGCTGGTTGATGGTTCCCATACTATTGTACACAAAAGTGCTGCTCAGGAGTATTGCTAGGGCAAATATCCAGGAGTCATTCTGGTTGTCACCCTGGAAATCAGAGTACATTTGGACCGGGATTATTTTTCATTCTCATGGCACTTTTCAGATCAGCAGTAGTAAAAGGATGCTCATTTAATTAGGGTTTTTTTTAGACTAACGCCCTATACGAGGAAACCAAATCCAAGCAAAAATGATAGTTAGTAGGACTTGAACTTTGAATAGTTTTCTGATTAGTGTTTTTGGTTTACCCTGATTCTCACTAGACCCTCTTATAATCATTGGTAGATAATTGCAAACAAATAGTCATTGCTTGTGGGCATTCTAAGGCCTTAAATATAATTTAAATGTAAACTTTTCTCTTTATTTTTACAGAACCATTTTCTTAATATTAGGGTAATAAGACATGTATCTATCTCACTGAGCAATTGTTGTGCACCTAACACTTTCCATTACTTATCTTTTAAGTATTCAAAACAATACTATGAGGCAAATGTAGATCTATTACATCTGTTTTACAGATAAGAAAGCTGAGGTTAAAAGAGATCAAATAATTTGCTAAGATCATTGAATTACTGACAGACTTTAAATTTAAAGCCAAGGGTATGGGACTTCAGAACCTAAATCCTTAACTAAAGTTCTTTGCAGGATAACATTCATTATGTTGAATTTATTTGTATTCCCTTTATGCATCTGGGTTAACTGGCTTAGCTTACAGCCTTTTAATAATTAGAATAGTGTCGACTGACCACTATGCTCTTCTTCTAGGATTCTGCCTTATGAATATTTTCCTGACCCCTCATTGCTAAACTGGGTCTCATGGCATGTAAACAGAAATGAAAAAACGTGGTTAAGTGCAAGTTCTTATTTAAAGAAAAATTAAATAGTGTAGAGAATATTCAGACATGAGGGGCGAATCCTCAGTCCTTACCTTCTCCACATCCCCCAGGCCCTCAGTATCAAGCAGAACTAGAGTATGTTCTGGCTTCTTGGGATGAGGGACACACCACATCCAGATGCCCTTCGTGTGAGACTGCACTGTGGAGCCCAGAGAAAAACCTGCAGGGGGGCATGGAGTTAAGAAAGGGTGGAGTTTTAATAGCAGATGGATCTTGAAATTGAGATAATAGTTAACAACATCAAGGTTTAAAGAGACCAATGAAAACATAATATTGATCTTAACTGCAACCAGAAAAAGAGAGAAATTAGAACATTCAGTACAAACTGAAATATTTATTTTACCTTAAAGATCAGTATAAGCTTGATGTTAATCCACATACATTTTAGTAAATGTTTTATTGTTTATTATTATCTGTATTAATTTTCTTTATTACTACCTTACTCCTTCCAGAAAGGCATATTTATACTTTAAAGAGAAAATTAAGGCAAAGTGGTGAGAAAGAGTTGACTCTTATCGTCCAGCACAGAGTAAATAAGAAACCCATCACTGTATTGAAAGTTAGCTTTCAATATTCCTCCCAGGTCTCTAACTTCCTCTCCTCACATCACTGTTCTGCACGCTGGGAGTGTGGTTGGCAGAAGGGACTCGGCTGGGCTTTGCTGGTGCCACTCACCCTTGTTCTTCCCAGCCAGCTTGTTCATCAGGTAGGATTTACCGGTGCGGTAGAGGCCCACGATAGCCACCACCACAACGGGCTGCTGAATGGCAGACAGGATCTTCAGAGCTTTCGGATTAACCAACAGTCGCCCATTAGTGTTCTCGATGAGGCACTCTGGGCCTGACATGTGGGTCTCTGAGGCCATGTTCCCTTGTCTGCAGGGGAAGAGATGGGATGAATTAGAATTTCTGGTCTAAGCAGATCAAGAGCTTTCACAAGGTTATTTTGCATTCAGAAGGAGGAATCATAAAATCCCCCAACATGACCTAGTTTTGTGTCAACAGTGACATAGATGAGGGAAAGACATTTTAGAAAGTTACGGAAGTATTATCAAAGTAGTCCATTAAAAAAATATTGGTATGACAGTGATTTATCAACATTCAACCACCCTCATGAACAAAATCTTGTATTTAGTTTACCATGGAAAATTTTTATTTTGGACTTTCATTTAAAAATTTATACTAGACATTAAATGTAAAATAGAGTAAGATTCAGAGAGATTCGTTGTACATCCTGGCTATGTGTGAGAAATACAATATTTATTTATTTATTCACTAATTCTTACTATGAATAAAGAATTTCATGAATAAATGTTCATCACTTGATATATGTCTCTGAACAATTTCCAGTGATTTGAAATGTGTTTTTTCTCACTAGTTAGCCTTATTTTTACTGGGATAAGGGTCCACAGAACTTCTCACACTGCTATTCTAGAAGTGGAACTTACTTTAGCAAATTTTATAAAAATATGTGACCTTGTGAAACACGTGGCTAGGGACCCTTCCAAAACCTTGGTATGGGCTTGTGGGAGCAAGGGGCTCTGAAACTTAAAATTTATTAGCTTCAAAACAAATTAGCCTCAAACTAAGTGGGGGTAAAGTGCACATCTGCGAATACTGCATGTTGCTAAAAATCGTATTTGTACGTGTGTGTGTGTGTGTGTGTGTGTAAGGGAACAAAAGATAGTGAAATAAATATTAAAAGATCAGGAGACAGATCAGGAGAACTAAAGAAGAAAGTTGTTGAAAGAAAATATCTATATTTCCAGCCATGCACTTCCAAGTTTTCTGTTTTCTTCTTTTTTTCCATTTTGTAGAGGAGAAGTAGAAACAGGAAGAGGAGTAGGGGTAAAGAGGAGGGGATGGGGATGGAAAAGGGGAGGGGAAGCTGAAAAGAAGAGAGAGGTGTCAGACAAGGTAGGTGATGAATAAGCTAATGCCAAGCCAAGGAATTCAGAGGAAGAGTTTGCAAAAGGCAAGATCAAAACTTCTTGAGAGCACAGAGAGGGCAAAGTAAACAAAGATGCTGCCTTCAGTGCTGCACCACAGTAGATTCTTTAAAGAGGAAGCTTTTTAGTAAAGTAGTGGGGCTGAATTCTGCTCCTAAGGGGTAAGGAGTGAGTTGACACCAAGAAATTGGATCTAGTGAACTTGTGCTATTTCTAAAAGAAGAAGTCCACTTTGAAACAAAGTTCAAATGTAGGACTGAAGAGTATGGTATTTTCATGAATCTACACCTTTCACTTTGGGTTTCAGGTTTTTTTTTTTTTTCTTTAACAGTGTCATGTAGCTGTTTCCACTGCATCTCATTTACTATTCTTTCCTTCTCATGAAAATAACCTATTTGTTGCCCTTTCAGTTTCTTAGCTGCAGTCACATCAGTATTGAACAAGTTGTATCAAAGACAATAGTAATTTTGGGGCTTCCCTGGTGGCGCAGTGGTTGAGAGTCGGCCTGCCGATGCAGAGCACATGGGTTCGTGCCCCGGTCTGGGAAGATCCCACATGCCGCAGAGGGGCTGGGCCCATGAGCCATGGCCGCTGAGCCTGCGTGTCCGGAGCCTGTGCTCCGCAACGGGAGAGGCCACAACAGTGAGAGGCCCGCGTACCGCAAAAAAAAAAAAAAAAAAAGACAATGGTAATTTAATTGTGTCCCCAGTCAACACAGACAACATCAGCAAAGAGAAAGACAATACTAATGCATTTCAAGATCTTAGTGTAGCTCCACGTCCCTGGTGCCTAATTCTACACAAGCACAGTAATGACCCAGGGATGTGCTGCCACCTGATAACACCAGGATTTCATCTGACCTCGTGCCCCACATTAGGCTCAGCTGAAACCTATTTTGATGCTGGTCATTTTTTAGAAAACTAACTAACCCTTAAAAATCCCTTCCCATCCCTGCACTAATCTTAACATGGGCTCCTTTTCCCAGAGCAAGGCTGCTTTAGCACTGGAGACAGAGCTGCTCTGAGGAAAAAATAGAGTTCTTACCTGTTTTCTTCTCAGTTTAGGTGGAGTGGTTCTGTAACTTCTCTGTCTCTCACTAGATGGTTAGACTTTTATTTCACTCACCCAATGTCATGGGACTTGCCTGATTTCCTGTAGAGACCAGACAGAAGAAGTGAAGCAACCTCTGGAAAAGATTTACAGTAATATGAAACTGAAAGCACTGAAAACAGAACAATGACTCAATAACCATAAAAGGAATTTTTGGAAGCTATCCTCTTTGGAGGGAACACGGGTTTGACACTACTTCTCAACTAGAGCCTTCACATTAATTTTTTTGAAAGACATCTTAGAAACAATTTGGTGTTTAAAAAAGTGTCTATTAGATACTTAAATGTAATGGAATGTATCCCGGGATTGGGGGTCAGTTTGGGAAACCTAGAATGAGGAAGCATATTTTTAGTTTTAATTTCTTTAAATAATGGACACACTTACAGTGGACCTGGCTCCTCATTTGTGCATGCTGTAAATGAGGAAAAGGACACACATTCGTGAACACGCAGCCCCTGGAACTTAATACCCAGTGCACAGGCTGGAAGGGGCTCCATGTGTTGCACATGTGTTCCAGGCTCAGTGCTGTCCGTTCTACATGGGTTAAATAATTGATATCTCATAACAAACATTTCCCCACCATTTTATAGAAACTGAGGCACAGAAAGATTTAATGTCTTGTCCCAAATCACAGCACTGTAAATAATCTGAACCGAATCATTCTTGATTCCAAACCCTCTTGTTAAGCCACTTCATTATACTGCCTTTCCATGTTTGCTCAGTGAATAGCAGAAGTAACAGTTTTATTTCTTGATTGCTTTCGAAGAGGTACACATGTTACATGTCTAATTCAATCCTGACTACAGTCATGCAAAATAAGCGGTATTGTCTCCATCTTGCAGGAGGCTTGAGGGAGGGTACAATAATATGCCTATTCAGATTCATTAAGCAAGTTATATAGAGGTAGGATGCAAAGTTGAAACTCTGTTTACCCTTAAACTATGTTTTTTCTCCACCTGAACAACGTTTCTGAAGGAAGGAATAGGGAAGTGAGGAGAAAGGGAGATATCTATAAGTTTCTCTCCTGATCTCATAGTATAAGTGCATTTCTCCACACCTGGAAGCCAGTGTCTGAAATTTAACAAATAAAGTACACTCCTTTCTTTCCCTCTTTGCCATTATCTTTTTTAAAGTGTCTCTGAGTAAGGAGCACTTTAACTTGCTTTGAAAAATGTGATTTATCTGGGTCTTTCAGTTGCTGGAACACACCTAATTTCTTCCTTTCTTAGCGGTCTATGTACAGCAATTTTCTGCATCTGGAACTTTCTTACCCCTGATCTTGGCAACATTGGTTCCTTCTTATTCTACTGGTCTCGGCTAAATGGCATCTTCTCACTGAGGTCTTCCATGTTTTTTAATTCCCAACCCATCCCCTTTTTTTTTTTTTTTTTTCTTCTTCTTTTTGCGGTACGCGGGCCTCTCACTGTTGTGGCCTCTCCCGTTGCGGAGCACAGGCTCCGGACGCGCAGGCTCAGCGGCCATGGCTCACGGGCCCAGCCACTCCACGGCATGTGGGATCTTCCCGGACCGGGGCACGAACCCGTGTCCCCTGCATCGGGAGGCGGACTCCCAACCACTGCATCACCAGGGAAGCCCCTTGCTTTTTTTTTTTTACTTTTCCCTATGACTACCTGAAATTCAACTTCATAAAAACAGGGACCTCATGTGTTCACAGGTGTGTGTCTCCAGCAATTAAAACAGAGTTTGGAAGAGAGTATAAGCTCAATGGATATTATGTGTGACTAAATATAAAATGGCTCCAAATATGAAGGTTACCCCACATTTTTCCAATTTGAAGTGTAGAAGAAATAGTAAAATGCCTATGTGAAGTATTTTGTCAATTTAGTTACACTTTTAAAATTATATATTTTATGTATATATAATATTGATATGTTGGTTTTTTCTTACATTTTGTAAAATAACTTTTAAATTGAAATATAGTTGACATACAATATTATATTAGTGTCAGGTGTACTACATAATAATTTGACATGTGCATACATTATGAAATGATCACCACAATAAGTCTGTAACCACCTGTCCTCATACAAAGTTATTAAAATATCACTGACCATATTCCTTATGCTGTATATTACATCCCTGTGGTTTATGCATTGTATAACTAGAGGTATGTACCTCTTAATCCCCTTCACCCTTTTGCCCACCATGGCTCTGTATTTGCAAAAGTGGATTGAAACACTCTGGTGCTGTAGCCTTATTAACTATACTAACATTCTGATAGGTCATTTTATAAATTAAAAGTCTCTGGCTCTCCTCTACTTTTTCTCATGAGAAAGGGTTTTCTTATGTCAATTAAGGTTTTCTTATGTCAATTAAGGCCAACTTGCAACTATTTTATTGAACACATGCCAGTGGAAAGCAAAAGCAAAAATAAACTTAGTTTCTCAGTAATTGACTAGGTGTTAGGAAGCCAGCTCCTTCCTGATTGGCACAGGAAAGAGAAACTGACTCCTAGATACTATTTTTAGTTAATTGCTTTCATTTTGGAGTATGGATTGTTGCTTTATTTATTTAAAACTCTTTTTTAGTCTTTCAGTATTATTGTGCAGTTTTCTATATTTCAGTCCAAATTGTTATGTATATTCTTACATTATTATGTTTCCTTTTTAATTGTGGTTAAAAAACAACATAAATTTTACCATTCTCTTTTAAGTGTACAGATTAACTATACTTACATGTTAATTATATTCCATCATTATGGAACAAATCTCCAGAGCTTCTTCATCCTGCAAAACTGAAACTCTAGACCCATCAAACAACTCCCCCTTAACCTTTCACCCTAGCCCTTGACAACCACCATTCTACTTTATGTTTCTGTGAGTTTGACTACCTTACATACCTCATATAAGTGGAATCAGAAGGTACTGATCTTTTTCTAACTGGGTTATTTTTTTAAAATAACGTCTTCATACTTAACCCATGTTGTAGTATGTGACAAGATTTTCCTTTTCTAAGACTAACATTTTTTAAAATTTTAATTAATTTATTTTTTATACAGCAGGTTTTTACTAGTTATCTGTTTTATACATATTAGTGTATATATGTCAATCCCAATCTCCCAACTCATCCCACACCCTCTCTTTCCCCCCTTGGTGTCCATACGTTTGTCCTCTACATCTGTGTCTCTATTTCTGCCTTGCAAACTGTTTCATCTGTACCATTTTTCTAGATTCCACATATATGTGTTAATATACGATAATTATTTTTCTCTTTTTGACTTACTTCACTCTGTATGACAGACTGTAAGTCCATCCACATCTCTAAAAATGACCCAAGTTCGTTCCTTTATATGGCTAATATTCCATTATATACATTTGCCACATCTTCTTTATCCATTCATTTGTAGATGGGCATTTAGGTTCCTTCCATGACCTGGCTATTGTAAATAGTGCTGCAGTGAACATTGGGGTGCATGTGTCTTTTTGAATTATGGTTTTCTCTGGGTATATGCCCAGTAGTGGGATTGCTGGGTCATATGGTAATTCTATTTTTAGTTTTTTAAGGAAGCTCCATACTGTTCTCCATAGTGGCTCTATCAATTTACATTCCCAAAAACAGTTCAAGAGGGTTCCCTTTTCTCCAAACCATCTCCAGCATTTGTTGTTTGTAAATTTTCTGATGATGACCATTCTAACTGGTGTGAGGTGATACCTCATTGTAGTTTTGATGTGGATTTCTCTAATGATGAGTGATGGTGAGCATCCTTTCACGTGTTTGTTGGCAATCTGTATATCTTCTTTGCAGAAATGTCTATTTAGGTCTTCCGCCCATTTTTGAATTGGGTTGTTTGTTTTTTTGATATTGAGCTAAATGACATGCTTATATATGTTGGAGATGAATCCTTTGTCAGTTGTTTCCTTTGCAAATATTTTCTACCATTTGAAGTTTGTCTTTTAGTGTTGTTTACGGTTTCCTTTGCTGTGCAAAATCTTTTAAATTTCAATCGGTCCCATTTGTTTATTTTTGTTTTCATTTCCATTTCTCTAGGAGGTCAGTCAAAAAGGATCTTGCTGTGATGTATGTCATAGAGTGTTGTGCCTATGTTTTCCTCTAAGAGTTTTATAGTGTTTGACCTTATATTTAGGTCTTTAATCCATTTTGAGTTTATTTTTTTGTATGGTGTTAGGAAGTCTTCTAATTTCATTCTTTTACATGTAGCTGTCCAGTATTCTCAGCACAACTTATTGAAGAGACTGTCTTTTCTCCATTGAACATCCTTGCCTCCTTTGTCAAACATAAGTTGACCATATGTGCATGGGTTT